GAGCCCTCCCCCCACAGACTCCTGCAGCCGGGAACCCCCTCCTCCCCTCTCCGCGTGCGCTGGGCCCGACCGGGACCCCCTCTCGCGCCCACTGCCTAAGGAGGCAGCGATCTGGCCCCTGCCCACTGCCCCCGCTGTCACTCTGGGGTCCCGCTGGCGACTGCTCACTTTCTCCGACTGTGCGGACGCTGCGACCACCCGCGGAAAAATGCCGCCTTCGGGCTGCGGAGCTCACTCTGCAGGCTGCCTAGAGGCCCTGGAGCAGGAGAGTGGAAGATCGTGCCTCAGTCACGCGGCTGCACTGCGCAACGCTGGGGGTCTTCCAGGCCAGCTGTGCTAAGGCCACATGGGATTTCCGCTTTTCCCAGAAGTCCCAGGTAGATGAGGAAGAAAAATTTCTGAGTCTTTGCGGAAGACAAGTGGCTAGACAGGAGGAGACTTCTGTGTTGCCCTGGCAACAGGACCTGCATGGTAAGGGCTTAATGTTCCAAGGCTTGGAGCCTCTGGGAGCAACAGGCCCACCGATTGGTCCTCCACCATCAAAATGACCTCCATCAGTAATGGTGGCAAATTGCTTGTGTGGGTGGACTAGAAATCACGAGCAGGAGAACCTAAGACCAGGTCCCCAAGGTATTCACAGCCTGCCCTGATCATGCCTGGAATCCCTACAACACAGATTGATTGCTGGCTGTGTTCCTCATCACAGCTCTTTACTGGCCAGCCTTCAACCACCTGGGCAGCCATTGCATAGGAAAGCTGGGTGGCCTATACGTGTCACTGAAAATGTATGCCCCTCATCTGTAAATGGGCAATAAAACACTTTCATTTTTATATATTGCTGGATATGAATTTCTAATAAATAGCTTTGCTACACAGTTCATGACAGATATTTTTCTGTAATTTTCTGGTTTTACGTCATCTCTTTTGATCAGGATTTAGGTTTGTACTGGCCCCACAAACTGAGTATTTTGAGGGTTTTTTGTTTGTTTTAGCTTTAGAAATGTTTTTTGATAATAAATATATTTATGAACTATAGGGCTATTTCTTTTTTCTATTCAATCCATTGGAAGTTTTGATAAATTGCTTTGTTTCCAATGGATTTGTCAATTTTATCTAAGTTGTCAAAATTATTGTCATAAAGCTAATATTCCCCCACTATTCTTTTAATGTCTGATGACATCCCTCTTTCGTGGTTGATATTAATGATTATTTTCTTTTTTCTTGATTAGTCTTCCGAAGGGCTATACATTTTGTTGCTCTTTTAAAATATGTATGATTTACTTACTTTTAGTCTGTTTTCTATTGTTGATTTCTGCTCTTATATCTCTATTGTCTCCTTCCTTCTACTTCTTCAAGATTTACTTTCCTATTCCTTTTCTAGCTTTTTAGGTCAAATGTTTTATATATTTACTGATTTATATTAAATATTAAATATATTTTATGTATGTACTTACTTCTTGTCTAGTGGTTATCTCAACTGCTGAGGCAGGGATGTTGAATCTCCAACTATGATTGTGGAAATGTCTAGTTGTGACTTTATACTGTCAATTTTTGTTTCACATATGTTGAGGCTCTGTTATTGGGTGCAAAAATATTTATGAGTTCTATGTGCTTCTGATTAATTAAACTTTATATAATTATTACCTTTATCTCAGGTGATACTCCACCTTGTCTGCTGGCATAGCCATTCTCACTTTCTTATGCTTGCCCCTTGCATGGTATATAATTTTACAACCTCTTACTATCAACCCATCTGAGTCTCTATATTAATTGCATCTCTTGGAAACAGTAAAAGTCTTGTTCTTTTATTCTTTCTGACAATCTCTGCCTTTTGATTGGAGTGTTTAGTCCATTTACATTGAATGTGATGTTTGATATGTCTGGATTTAGGTCTATACTTTTACTATTTGCCCCATCTGATTTTGTTCCCATGTTCCCCGTTTTCTGCCTGGATTAATCAAATATTTTTCATTTTTAATGTATCTGTTATCTTCTTACCTATACCCCTTTGCATTTTTGTAGCGCTCACTCTAGAGATTACAATATCTTTAACTTTTCACTGTCTACTTAAAGTTAAAATTGTATATAAATGTAAGAAACTCTCCATCATATAGATTCATTTCCATTCCACATCATCCTTTATGCTGTAGTTGCCAAACCCTAGTATATGCTATTAAACTGTTTCCTTTAAAGTCATATTATTATAAAGAAATTAAGAGCAAATAACTATTCATTAATATTTACCCCCACATTTACAATTTCCAGTGTTCTTCACTTCTACCCAAAGATCAAAGCTTTCTTCTAGTTTCATTTTTCTTCCATTTGAAAGACTTCCTTTAGTATTTCTTTTCGTGCAATTCTGTTGATGAATTTTCTTAGCTTTCATGCATCTCAAAAGATACTCATTTCACCCTCATTCTTAAATTTGTTCTATTTCCCTAGATACAGAGTTCTGGATTGGAAGGTTTCTTTTTTCTTTCAGCATTTTAGAGGTACTGTATTGCTCCACTGTCTCATGGCTTCCATTGTTCTGATGAGAATTAAGTGGAAATTCTTAATATGCTCCCATATGTAGTGTTTCATTTTACTGTGACTACTTTCAAGATGTTTCTTATCCTTCCTTGTTTTCAGTAGCTTGACTACGATGTGCCTAGATGTTTCCTTTGTATTTATCCTCTTTGTGGTTCACCAAGTTTCATTAAATTTGTGAATAGTGAACTTCCCAAGAAAAAATGATACTAGAGGAATTTTTCAGTCATTATTTCTTCAGATAGCTTTCCTTCCCCATTTTCTCTAACCCATCCTGGCATTCAAAATACACATTTGACCTCTATATGTTGTCCAACACACCACTGAGATTCCATTCTTTTTTGTCGTTGTTCCTCTTGGTTTATCCAAATAGATCACTTCTATTGATCTAGCTTCAAGTTCATGACTCCTCTGTCATCTGCAATCTGTTATTAAGCGAATCCATTGAACTTCTCACTTTATGTTTTTCAGTTTTGGAATTACAGTTGATTCATTTCTCTTTTTTAAATTTGTATTTTAGGTTTAGGGGTACATGTGAAGGCTTGTTGCATAGATAAACACATGTCATGAGGGTTTATTGCACATATTATTACATCGCCCAGGTATTAAGCTCGTACCCAATAGTTATCTTTTCTGCTACCCTCTCTCCTCCCACCCTCCAACCTCAAGTAGACCCCAGCATCTATTGTTTTCTTCTGTGTGTTCAAAAGTTCTTATCATTTAGCTCCCACTTGTAAGTGAGAACATGCAGTATTTGGTTTTCTGTTCCTGTATCAGTTTGCTAAGGATGGTAGCCTCCAGCTTCATCCATGTTCCCACAAGACATGCTCTTGTTCTTTTTATGGCTGCATAGTATTCTGTGGTGTATATGTAGCATATATTCTTTATCCAGTCTGTCACTGATAGACACTGAGGTTGATTCCATGTCTTCGCTATTGTGAATAGTGCTGCAGCAAACATTCCTGTGCATGTGTCTTTATGGAACAATGCTTTCTATTCCTCTGGATATATACCCAGTAATGGGATTGCTGCTTTGAATTTTTAGCTCTTTAAGGAATTGCCACACTGCTTTCCACAATGGTTGAACTAATTTATACTCCCACCAACAGTGTATAAGTATTCCGTTTTCTCCACAACCTCACCAGCATCTGTTATTTTTTTGACCTTTTAATAATAGCCATTCTGACTGATGTGAGATGGCATTTCGCTATGGTTTTCATTTCCATTTCTCTAATGATCAGTGATTGAGCTTTTTTCATATTTTGTTGGCCGTATGTATAGTTTCTTTGGAGAAATGTCTGTTCATGTCCTTTGCCCACTTTTTAATGGGGTTGTTTTTCTTCTCTTGTAAGTTTATTTAATTTCCCTATAGATTCTGGATATTAGACCTTTGTCATATGCATAGTTTGCAAATATTTTCTCCCATTCTGTAGGTTGTCTGTTTACTCTGTTGATAGTTTCTTTTGCTGTGCAGAGCCCCTTAAGTTTAATTAGATCTAACTTGCCAATTTTTGTTTTTGTTTTGATTGTTTTTGGTGTCTTTGTCATGAAATCTTTGCCTGTTTCTATATCC